AATTGTGTCCAGAAGAATGAGATGGGATAATCATACAAAGACGAAAGAGAGAGGAGGGAGATTAGACAAAGGAGAGGAATACAGAACAAGGTCCACTCCTGCGTCGGGCTCCCTTCTCAATCACCACCCCAAATAATCAATAGTCTGAAACGCATATCCGAAGTTCTACTACAATGTGCCACGTGGCATGTCAATAAGTCCTCATTAGCGCACTGGAGCAATGTCGACCTCAAGATGACAAGGTACGTATCCACGATTACCCCACAGTCATGATCTTCTCCTGAGTGATGATGAATCAGAACAGCAGTACCGGTCACGTAGTCCGGACGTCAGCCAATAGAACACGTGGCCGCAGCCACGTCAGCAGCAACGCGTGGCATCTGCCACGTCAGCATGCCTTGAAGACAATAGCTAGTCAGCCACCACGTGGAGCCAGCTGCGCGTCGCCGTGATCTCCCAAATGCCAACACAAACCAACGTTCACCAGCGTGGCAGCGTCGAGTCAGCGTCGCGTTGTCAACTCATGAAGTCAGCATTGACGCAAGACTGAATGAATGTCAAAGTCAGGAAGTCAACGCTTATGTAGTGTTGACGCGGGGTCTGGACCCCGGGTGCTACATCCCTCAGCCGTCCAGATCTCAATGTAGATGACGACCCAGATAGACCTGAAACCGAACTCCTTCTGTCCTCGATGCTGTCTGGGTACCTGCACACAACAAGTGAGTGTATCCGACCAAGGGCCTGGGTGGGGTACCTTTGACCTGACAGTTGACTTAGACTGTTGATTTTCCCACGGGCAGTGTGTGGTCACACTGCTAGGCACATACCAAATTTGGCCTGTGTTGTCTGGGCTCCGTTTTGAGGGCCCAGACTGCTGTAGAACACGGGTTATTGCATTCCTGCCGACCTATTTTCGAGTTCCATCGCAGAAATAACTAAGACTATAACCCATGTTCATATGTAGATACAATATTAGGAGCAGTTTCAAGTAATTCTCGTTTACTGAACCATTTGTCCTTAGATGGTGCCTGAGATTTTAAACGTACCTTGAACTGCTTCTGGGGTCGTCACGTCCACCTGTAGAAAAGTACCCATGCTCTATGATTTTGTCTACCTCATATCCACCGCCCATGGCTGGCGGAATCATAGAAGGTATGTGTGGGAACTCATTTCCTTCTACATAGGGTAGCAATTTGGACGCGTGAAAGACAAGATACGTTTTGAGGTAAGGGGGAATATCAATTCGATAAGACGGTCCCTCCGCATCCCCAATTACTTTGAGAACTTCCCAGGGTCTAAAATAGACTGGCAGAAGTTTCTGAGACACATTTTTTTCCAACGAAAACTCTTTGGACTTGACGCAGACTTCAAAAAAAATAATAAAAAAAATATTGAGGGTTTGCCCTTTATTGGGCCACGCTGATTTTCGGGTCGGATCAACTATGGCGGTTGGGGAGAGAGGACAAGGGGTGCTGATGTCAGCAGGGTGAGAGTTGAGAGGGTTGTTCCGCTTGGAGGGGGTGGGGCAGGAAGGAAGGGGGATCTTCTGCTCTGTGGGGGCATACTTTAGGGGGTATTGTATGCGACTGAGGGAGCAGGAGGGATATTCTGGGAGCTGTTTTGAACTAGGGCGGGGAGGCGAGGGGGCACCTTCCCGGGGAGCCAGTAAACAGATAGGGGGTTATGTTTTGGGGGAGAGAAGTAATCCCTTTGCCTCTTGTGACCCGTTTACATGTATCTGAGACCTCAATAGGCGCTGGAGTTTCCATGGGGAGAGAGGGTTGTTCTTTTCCCTCTCTTCCCCTCTCCCTGTGGGAATAGTGTGCGTTGGAATGTTCATGTGATTTTTCGGGATTTTTTGTACCCGATTTTCCTATTTTTTCTTAATTGAAAAATTCTTCCAAGGTTTGGTGCTAAAGGCAGGGGTTGTGGTGGTTGTGACGGCAGGAGATGACGCGCTCTGCGGCGAAGGGGCTAGCCTGCAGGGTTGTAATAGGGTACAACAGCGGTGGAGATGGTGACTTCATCGTGGTAAGACTTGCCGGAGTAGGGTTCAAGGGGTTTGTTGGGGGGATATCTGCAACCAGTGCATGAAGGAGACGAATAATGAGATCTACAACTATGGTGCTGATTGGTGGTTTGACTGCTATTTACCTTAGTTCTGAGTCCCAGGGGTTTGCGAAAAGACAAGGCCAGAAGGACGCTGGTCGGTGCTGGGGCTTGCTCATGCTGCCCTGTAACTCGAGCTGTACGAGGGCATGAGACCTCGTAGAGAGATCTGGGGAGTTGTCGAGGGTGGAAGGCACTCTAGTGTCTTTTGGTGAGTTGGTGCCTAGTCGACGCCGGCCGGATCCGGGGGTCGCTTTGCCCTGTGGCCTAGCAGGTGGGGGTTATTCTGGGGTGGGCTGTGCCACTCTGTAACGTAGCAGTTGGGGGCATGAGGCCTGGTAGAGATTGGGCATCGAGATATAGGGGTGAGGCAAGTAAGGGTTGGGCTGCTGAAAGGCCCTAAGGCAGGTGGTTTTTTACGAATGCTTCTTTGATTCGAGCTTTGGGGGACACCGAATTTCAGAATTCTTGAAAAAAAAAAAGTTGAAGTCAGGTAATAGCCCCGTTATCTCAAGGATATCTTCAAAAAAAGGTTTGTTTCCTGGTGGTTCTGAGAATGTTTTAGGATTCTGGGGACTTCTAGCAACTCGCTTTAGGCTATTTGATACTGGTACATTCATGGATCTGCGGTTGTTCGATGCCAGAACGATGCTGGCTGGTGCTGGGTTGTCGCCCTGTAACCTGCTGACTGCAGGAGCGTGAGGCCTGGTAGAGAGATCTGGGGATGCTTTGGGGTGGGCATTCCAAGGGCCAACCAAGGGTTGCTGTTGGGACGACGCTGGCCGGAGCTGGGGCGAGTCGTGTTGCTCTGTAACCTAGCCAGGTGGGAGTGTGGGGCCTGGGAGAGCTCGACAGGGAATAAGACAATGTTGGATAGTTTTGGAGAGTTTTGTTTGGGAGTCTAGGGGTTCCGAGCATTCGAAAAGAGGTCAGTAGTCATTCGTAGTTTTTCAAGCTCTTTTTAATTCTCAAAAAAAAAAAAAAGAAAAAAAAAAGGAACCTTGCAGACTCCACCTCCTCGCTGGCTCCAGCCAGATTTCAAATCTGCTGGCCGGATACATTCATTCTTTTTTAAGTATTTTCCCCTCTGTTTTGCATGTCGGAAAGAGCCCCAGATCCAATTCATGAGTGAGGGCGTGACAGGCAGGATAAACCCCACACCCTGTTCAGCCGCTGAGGACCTGGGAAGGGGGCACGGCGGGTGACAGACGCTGCAGCCCTTGGCTTCCGCGACGGACAGGCGACCCCTCGCCGAGTTTCCTAACAACGGGCCCCGTGAATGTGCGACCGTGGCTGCGCAGACGGGTTGCGGAATCGGCCATTTTTTTTTTCCCAGCTGAGGGAAGTTGTGGTTGGGGTTGCACAGTCGGGGGAGGGGACCTTTCAGTGAGCCCCCCCAAATTTTGTTTTTGATTTTCACTTATTATTTTTATTTTTTATTTTTAATTATATAAAAAAAAACCTTGTATGTGTGTGTGTTCTGTGATATTCGCTATTCACTCGAAAAAAGCATGACTGTGTCTGACTCAGGCTGTTTCGTCGGACTTTTACCACATCGCCCAGAGTTAGCGATACCCCTGAGAAAAGTGGTCGACTTTACTCACACCAACCTTGCAATTGTGTGTGTGTTGTCATATTCGCTATACACTAAGAAAAATCATGACTTTTTGTGTGTGTGTGTTCAAGTAACTTCACGCATTTCTGCTTTGAAGAAGCGCCATGTATTAAACATGATATATCCAGGTGCCTGGCCTAACAGCTCATTTCCATTCAGCACTTCATTTAGTATAAACACTTGATCCGATGGATGGCACAGGCGGACTGCATGTGTGTTGATGGGATGGGGGGGTAGGGATGGACGGGTGGGGGAGACAGTCGTGTGGTAGAGAGAGGTGTGCCAATCTTTTGTCAGTATTTCGGCAAACCTACGACCTGGGAGCTTACTGTGGTCGACTTTAATTCGAGTTATCTGAATGACCATGACATTCACCTGCATTGGTGTATTAAAGGGACCTTGGACCTGGTTTCCAGCAGGTGTTGCTCCCCACCTATAGATGAAACAGCCCAACAGCCAGAGCCTCAATTCTGGTGGTTCTCTTACCCCTGCTGGGATAGTGGCCTTGCAAAAGGGCTTTTGCATTAAAAAAAAAGAAAAAAAGAAAAAAAAGAAGAAGAAGTATTGGGGGGCTAATCACTTGGGTTGGCTACTTGCTTTATCAATCCATGTGTCGTCCGTTGATTATGCAGATCACACATTGATATCAGTGAGGAGGTTACCCATATTCTTGTTGCATCCCATATTCTTGTTGTATCCAAGTGATGAGTACTTCTCATCATGTCAGGTCAGACTCTCCGATTCAGCCTTTATTTGGCTTCCAGGTATGAAGGGGAGGTGGCTACAGGGTAATAGATGCGGGCACGTGCAGATTGGCAGATGAAGGCCCCTTTTCACAATTAAGAAGTTCAATGTTTTAAGCAGTTGTGTCCAGTGGATGTAGTGGTTAGGGCACCGGCTGGAACTGCGAATTGTGGTATGAGATTGCAGGTTCAAAACTCAATTGCAGCCTTGCGTCTGGACACTGGCAGGGCGTTAGAATGACGCACAGTCCCTTGGGCCGGCGCACGGTAAGCTTATACAGACACTGCCTGCGATTGTCCATGGTGTTGTATATCGGGTTGTTTTTTTTTATAACAAAACAACCCGACCGTCTGCTAGGGGTGCTGATAGGAGCAGACACGGCTAGCAGCGTCGGGGAGGCTCCATCTATTGGTGGGGAGCAACACCTGCTGGAAATCGGGTCCAGCGTCCCTCAACAATTACGAATTCATGTCAACACGCCACGTGTCATTCCTACAAAACACCTGCCGATCCAACACGCGGCACTCTACCACCTGATGAGCAGCATTGATTGCCCTCAACTGAGGGGATTAACTGCTCATCACATCGAAACTCAGATTCCTACGCCGAAACCCTTATCATCTACTATCACTTCATGCAATCGCCGTAAGGGGGAGAGGCATTCGGGGTAGGAAAAAGGTCAAACGGAAAACAACAAAACTCATGTCGGGGTGCCACGTGTCCCCAAGACAGATGTAGGGTTTCAGGCGCACAAATGAGAAGCATCCTCGGCTGGTCATCGGGGTGCCATATACCCTAGTCACACCCCTCAATCCTCCCCCCCGGTTCCCACAGAAACGGCGCGATAACATATCAGCCGAACAGACATCTACTTATAGACATAGCCGTAGACAACATCTTCGTTCCATTCCCAATAGCGCCACCCCCACCGGGAGAGGCAAGACACTCGAGAAACAGCCCCTGCCCCCTACGCCCGCTGTTGTAGTCATTATCTACCGGGCCCGCAATATTATCATCATTAACTGTGTTGACGACTTGGATGGCCCAGACGCATTTATGAAAATCGTCCCCGCGCTGAGCACTCTCCTCCCCGTCAGTTTTTGGCTTGTTATTATTGATGATCCAAATACATGTTTGACCTTGGTCTCCCCGCTGAGCACCATCCTCGCTGTTGTAATTGTCGTTGTTGTTGTTGTTGTCATCGATGTTGTTGTCGGTATTGTTATCATCGTCATCTCCACGTGTAACACCACGCTGAGCACCATTGTCGCTGTTGTAATTGTCGTTGTTGTTGATGTTGTTGTTGTTGTCATCGACGATGTTGTTGTCGGTATTGTTGTCATCGTCATCTCCACATGGAACACCAGCATCGCCGTTGTGATTGTCGTTGTTGTTGTTGTTGTTGTTGTTATTGTTGTTATTGTTGTCGTCATCACTGTTCTTGTTGGCAATTGTATCACCTTTATCGGCGGAAGTGGCAGAACTGCAGGCAATGAGGCTGTTATCGTTCACATCTTCTGTGATGCCCCCGTCATCTTCACAGTAGCGGTCCTGCAACGTGGCTTGCCCCTCCTCAAAGTCCACGTAGCAGCACCGTTTCGAATCGTCCATTCGTGTATTCACATGCAGATGGGGGGGCAGCCCCACCCGAAGCTCAACAAAGATTTCTCTCACTTTCTCGAGCATTTTGGTGCAATCACGCAGCCCAGCCATCACTTCTGCTCTTTTAGTGCCACCGAACTGTTGGAGGGAGAGATTTGCATGGAGCTCCTCCTCCCACCCAATGAACATTTCCTCACCCTCCACCAAAAACTCCACTGGCAGATTATGGCGGTGTTGAGTCAGCACTGCGTAAATGTCTTCCACCTGGCATTTATACATTCTCACCAACTCCAGCACTGCTTCCTTCTCCTCGGGCGAGGCAACAGCAACTTCCGTACTCCACATAGGATGCTGCAGCCCCACGCTTTGCCTGATCGCCGCCTCCATCACTACCACTGTTGTTAATGTAAGATGCTGTTGTTGTCGTTATTCTTGATGTAATTGTTGTACCTGTTCGCCCAAAACAAACGCGCTGCCTCTTCGATCTGAACTTTCATCCCTCACGCCGACGTGCCGTCTCCTGAGATGCCACGTGCAAAAACCATCTACGCCCGGGCAGAAGCACCAGGCGGACACCAGGACGACCAAGCGCAGCGATGGAGTTGACCACCACTGCCCTAGTCCGCGGAGTATGGTCGGGCCCAGCCGATCGGGTCTTGAGTGGGTTGCTTGTGGCTGTTGCTCGTGCTTGTTCTGTTGATCTCCCCAGTCTGGCATATCACACACAGGGGCAGTTTGTAATTGTTGCTCAAATGGTAGAGTCTTCAGGTCACATGTCATAGATCACGGGTTCGAGTCTGGCTTGGGACTTTGGGGTAGGTTCTTGTCCAGCTTGGCCCGTCATCTCTTCATACGAACACATAGTTCCCTCTACATAGCACTGCACATATCTGGCCTCTGGGCACATTCATCTCGCTCTACAGTTACACAAAGCACACATAGACTGCACATATCTGGCCTTCGGGCACATACATCTCGCTATACAGTTACACAGAGCACACATAGCCTTCGGGCAGATACAAAACACATGGTCCTATGGGCTCATACAAACATACATAGCCTCTGGGCAAACACACATACAAACAACTACAATACTGGGCTGGGGGGGTCTATCAGGTATATGACGGGGTCTACTCACGCATGGCTTAGCTCTAGGGTAGGGGTAAGGATATAAGCCGCTCCGGCTAGTGTGAGCTCCGCCTAGCCTTGGGTAAGCTAGGGGAAGGACGGTAGGATGTGTCCGCGGGCGCTGGCCTGCCGTGCTGAGGTAATTCTGCTGGGTAAGACTCTCTGAATTGGGCCTGTAGAAGAATGCATGAGCCTGGCTTCCGAAGTTTCCGTACAGCAAGGTTTGTCCGCTTCTGCTTCCATCAGGGCTGTGGGCCCAGCCTTGGTGCTTGTCACTGCTGTCTGGTCCAAGTTGCCCTCGATACTTGTAGGGTGATGGTCCTGCGTGCTGGTCACACTGAGGTAGGATAGTAGGGACAGGGGGTGCGCTGGGAGTATTAACGCATGGCTTAGCTCTAGGGTGGGGGTAGGGATATAAGCCGCTCCGGCTAGTCTGAGCTCCGCCTAGCCTTGGGTAAGCTAGGGGAAGGACGGTAGGATGTGTCCGCGGGCGCTGGCCTGCCGTGCTGAGGTAATCCTGCTGGGTAAGACTCTCTGAATTGGGCCTGTAGAAGAATGCATGAGCCTGGCTTCCGAAGTTTCCGTACGGCAAGCTTCGTCCGCTTCTGCTTCCATCAGGGCTGTGGGCCCAGCCTTGGTGCTTGTCACTGCTGTCTGGTCCGAGTTGCCCTCGATACTTGTAGGGTGATGGTCCTGAGTGCTGGTCACACTGAGGTAGGATAGTAGGGACAGGGGGTGCACTGGGAGTATTAACGTGGGGATGGGTAGGGTAGGTGGCCTATCCTGTCAGGACAACCATTGCCTTCCGCTGCTAGCAATCACCGTGGGTCTGGTCCTTGGCCTCTACAACACCCTGGGCTTAAAAAATAAAATAAAAAATAAAATAAAAAATAAAATAAAATAAATAAATAATAATAATAATAATAATAATAATAATAATAATAATAATAATAAAATCGGAGCAGTTGTCATCGGAGTTCCACTCCTTATTAATCCTTGTTGTATGGGGTTGCCTTTCCAGCCTTTCTAGGGCTAAGTGTTCTTTAGATAAGGGGAAGGTACGGGTGTATGGCTTGATGAAGGTGAGACTCAATTGTCCCTAAGGGGACGATCCATCGTTCAGTGAAGGCGAGGATGAAAAGGGCGTATAGTGCAAAATGATCTCTGGGGATGTACCAGGTTGCTGCTATAGCCTTTGCTAGGTTGTAACAGGGACGCTGGACCCGTTTTTCGGCAGGTGATGCTCCCCACCAATAGATGGAGTGTCTCCTCAAGGTGTTAGCAGTGTCTGCTCTTACTAGCACCACTAACACAAGAGGGGTTGTTTTGTGAAAAAAAAAAAAAAAAGGTTATGGGCCTTTTGGATGTGAAGGGACAATTTTCGGCAAAAAGCTGGTCAGGTTGCCAGGGTGGCCGGGTAGGGCCTACTGTACTGACCCTGTAGCTGCTTTATCTGGTTCGTCGTCGTATCAGGCTAATATCAGCCATTACCTGGCTAAGTGGTCATCTGATATGCCGGGAAGGTCGATACGAGCATAGGAGGACAGACACAGATGACACCAGACGTATCAGATCGTTGTTCTTAGCCTTTGCATGGCTACATGCTTGCCTCATAGGTAGGGGAGGTAGATACCTGTCAAGGAAAGAAACTTGAATATAGGCTACCAGAAGATAAGCCCGAAAGAAGATGGGTATCACTGTATCAGGCTATCAGCACTCACTATGCTCATTATATTCCTCGACGCATCAGACCATTGTTCTTAGCCTTTTAAGTTGCACGCTTCACGCTTATCTAATGTGCAGGGGAAGTAAATACCAGCAAAAGCAGCAGCCATGATGCCTCCGTTGGGGGGGGGGGRGGGGGGCAAATAGCAGCCTGCTCGTTGTTGTCATGCTGGCCGCTGCTCGCCACTCGCTGCCGGGGGGGGGGGGGGGGGGGGGGGGGGGGGAGAGGGGAAATAGCTGGCACAACACCAGAGTGCCACAGTATGGTGACAGACATAGAGTGTGGCCAGTGCAGTGTGTTAAGGTGTTGGTTACGCACGCGCACGGCTGCCAGCTGCCCAGGTTCAAACCCTAGCAGCATCTTGATAAGTATAATTCGGGAGCGGGGCGGGGCGTGCAGCGGGGCAATGTGGCCACATAGCGCATGCGTGTGTGTGTGCGGTGGCCTTGGCCTTGTTGCTTGTGCGCACACGTCGTGACGGCACCTCTCTTTTCTCGCTACGTGTCGCTCCCTTGCTGCTGCACCTTTCTACACTTTCTCCCTCTGTTTTCATATGAAAACGCCCAAAAAGAACAGGCAAAAACCCGCTGTCGGGTTTTGCACCATTTTGCAGGCTGTGGTGGGTGGTAGCAGGGAACGTTCCCGCTCTGATACCAGTGTGCCAGACCCGTCGGGATGGCAGTCCGTCAAGGTGAGGACGAAGGGTTGACGGAGGAGGAGATGGGGATGGAGCTGGAAGGGACAGCGCAGCTCCGACGCGGACTCAACACGCATGTACTCCAAAATGTGCAGAATCAAGAATGCTCGAAAACAAACAATGGTTGGGGTATACCCCCAGCGGACTGACTGGACTGGAATGGTATCGACAGTGGTACCGGGCAGGACTGGACTGGACTGGTACAGCACACGGCCTGTGGGGTCAGGCCACGACCTGGTCTCACATACTGAACAGTCGAAAATTGCAAATAAGTTGAAATAGTCATCCAAAGACCAGACCCGCATTCAAAAAGGAAGGCCTAGACTCTGACCCGGGTTTGAGGGGCATGCCCTAGGAAGTGAACTCCTTCCGATGGTATTCCTACTTCTCCCGCCGGTAAACCACCGGTACACGGCCCCAGCCTTGCTGAAAATGTTTCGTTGCCTGGTCCAAAAAAGTTGGTCCAGGCGCGTCGTTGATAAAATAAATCGTCAGTCGGCGCCGCGTTTTGGCCTCTAACAGGGCACGTGGCCAATGTGAGGCGTGTACTGGTCGTTTAAACCACCGGCTCACACGAACCTAAGTGGTGCTCTTACCGGTATTACGTGGTAAGAACATCTCGATTCGGGTCTTGGCCCTGGCCTTGTTAAAAATGTTTCATCGCCTAGTCCAAAAAAGCGTTGTTGATAAAATAAATCGCCAACTGGCATCATGTTTCGACCTTTGACCGGGCCTGCGGCCAATGTGAGGCATGTACTGGTGGTTTAAACAACCAGTTCACGCGAAACATAAGTGGTACTCTTACCGGTATAATTACGCAGGAAAAAGGATCAGATGACTAAACGAGATACATATGTGAGGTTTGAAGAGCACAAGGAGGTAGGTTTGAAATGTTATTCACACTCTGCTCTTCTAGACCTGCAAAATTTGCAAAAATCAAGGCTAGTACAATTTGATCAATATCAGATGTGGTATCCTTCCTTCGCTCCGTTTTCGGTAAAGGGAGGATACAAGTTGCCTCAGACTTGGATAATAGTAGTTGGATGCGACTATAGAGAGTCTGAATGGGGGCAAAGAGGACAAGGCGGAGTTGTAATGGAAGCATTGCAAGCACTATATGGGAAGAGCCCTATGTGGCACCGAGCCACTAGGGATGCGGACTTAGATTTGAAATCTCTTAATGTAAATGGTATGGCCACTGCAGATGGGGAAAAAATAAGGGTTTTAATGGAACAATTTAAGGGAGTTGGGGATCGTTCATGGCCAGATTTGATTTGCATTCAGGAAACTTATCTAAACGAATCTCCTGCCCATATCTGTGCACACGATATATTGAATATAGTTTGGCCTTTTCAGAAAATTTGTTCCCCAGCTCCGCACAGTGGCTCGGGAGGAGTAGCTATTTGGATCTCGCTTGAATCAAGGGTTGAAATAGTTCATTGGGCGGCAGATAAGGAACAAGGACATTGGATATTTGATTAGTAATGCTTGCGATAAAGATTGTGTGTGTAGTAAATATTTATGCTCTCAATGATGTGCGAGAAATAGTCAAGTTCTTCCACGATATTCGATCGCACATTCCGGATGGAATTTCAATCATCATGGCTGGTGACTTTAATGCGGCACCAGATAGATGGATGGGTAGATGGAAAATTCCCTCTCCTTGCCCAACATACATTGAGGAGGATGAGAATATCATGCATCAATTGTGTTCCTTGGAACATCTTTTTAATTCCTACCGGCGGATCTTCCATAGGGAGCGTTTGTTTACTTGCATCCAGAATAATGGCACCCCAAATCAATCAAGATCTATAATATACCTGATTTTAATGACGAATGATTTGGATTGAGTCCTTCAATTGGAGACCATTTTTCCCAATAGTCCTTGGTCGGGGGCGGATCATAAGATGTGTGCAGTACTC